ATTGGCTCTATTACTCCTATAATATGTTAAAGACAATCGTCAGTCAAAGTTAATCAAGGGATTTAAACACCTACATACTCTAGACCATGCTTTGATACCATAAAAAGATGTTATATCTTGGATTTTTTTTTCGGGATCACATCTTTCCACGTATTCAGAGCCGAGTAATTAAATATCACTTTATTCATAATTTATAAATATTTATTATAATTTATTTATTCATCGAATCATAAGTTGAAAAGTAAACATAGTGATATTAACTCAATGAATTATCCAAGTAGCTTTACCTAATGGTAAAGGAAGGTTTGCTCTTCATTAGAATCCGATTTAGTGCCAATGGGAGGTTGCTCTGAAAAAAAAAAAAAATAGCAACGCCGAGTAGAAACCCCAAAAGTTAACTCAAAAGAAATATATGATAAAAAATCAATCATCCCATTAGCGTATATCAAATACCCAAAGGAGCACTCCCCCAATAGCAAATAGAGTGACTTATCATATGGGATGAGTTTGTGTTCTCCCAATAATTGATGGAGGTAAACTCACATCATACTCCTAATAGTAGATGGAGTGGTGTCTCTCTCCAAGTGAGGACATGTCCCTCCCAACAGTAGATGGAGGAACCGTCTAACCGTCACATCTGACGTCTCGCTAATCCCTAAATGGAATTGCCCTATCTGCCCTTGGTATAGAAATAACATAATCTCACACTAGTCATGTCTATATCGGGATGAAATAACACATTTAAAATATCTCTTTCAAACATCATCAATATTAAATAATATCAATTAGCCCTCAGACTTAAACCATAGTCCAATCAATCCAATTGAACTCGATTTACTAGAATTTAACTGAACTGATATCTAATCCTTATTTAAAGGGTCTAGAACTACCCTAGACTAGTATAATTATGACTGGATTAGGTTCAATTTAGGTTAAACTGACTTGAATAAGTCAAATCAATTCAGAATCACTCTGAATTGATCTAGACTAATTAAGTCTGATTAAGCTTAAATATAATAATTATATAATATTAGACTTGGTTGGGTCGACCCATATACTAGTCATGTGCACTGTATATAATTATGCATGAATCACACCAGGCTAGGCCAACCTTGGCCCATGGACTGGTCATATGCGTTGCACATGACTACTCATATTTTACTGGACTAGGTTAACCTACGGGCTAGGGCCTGACCTATGGATTAGGCTTGGCCTATAAGTTGGGCTTGGTCTATTGATTGAGCCTAGTTAGTGGGCTATGACCTAACCTATAGGTTGGGCCTATGGGCTATTTTAACTTTATTCCTATCCAATTTCATCAATATCAAATTATGACAATATATATTCACTAACAATAAATATATTAAAATATAATAAGAGATTAAAAAAAAATAAAGATAAATTTAAATACAAGGAAATGATATTCTTAAATAAAAAAAAATTAAAAACTATACTTTCAATACATATGATATGAATAATTTCAATATGTTCTAATCAAACAATAAAATTCTAAATCTTAAAAGGAATAAAAAAAATTATATAATATATTATAATTTAACAATAAAAATTTTAACATTTAAAAGATTAAGAAATATTTTTTGAATTGCTTATAGTATATTTTAATCTAGATAAGATTAAAAAATAAACTGTGAAATAACATTCTTAATCCAAATATGAAAAATTAGATATCATGTATTCAATACATAAAACATGTATAATTTTAGTATATTTAAATCTAAAATAAAAAACTTTACAAAGATTGAAAAATCTCTTAAAAACTTCATATAATATATTTTATTCTAACAATAAATATTTTGGTGTTAAAAGGATTGATAAATATTTTTAAATTATAAAAAAATAATATTTAAGGAATCAAAATAAAAACTTTTATTTTCAAGAGAGGTAGAGAATTCCTCTCTTGAAAATAAAAGTAAGATGTAACTCCTCATTCTTCTTGTTGTCGGGCTTGGCTAAATAAGGAACGAAAAAGAGAAATATATTACCTTAAATAAAAGGAGGTGAATCTCCATTAAAAGAAGTTTTCCTTAATTTTTATATTTATTTAATATAAATTATTTTTATTTAATATACTAATAAATATATCATCATATTTCGAATGCTTAATAATCATTTCCTAATTCACAATGACAAATATAAAAATAAGATTAATATTTCTTAAATTATAATGACAAGTAAGGAAATAAAAATTGATTCTTAAATTAAATATTTGATTTGATTAAATATTCTCTCTTAAAAAATGTTCTGCCCCCAACAGTTTTATAGATGAGCTGGTCCTCTACCGGACCTGATCTGCAGTGTGCACAGGTGCAATCTGCCTTAGAAAGTTCTTAGTGTGGAAATCTGGTACTTGCAGCAGGATTAACTAATGACATGAATAATGCTCTGCATAATAATTTTTCCAGCCTAGCCTGATATTAGAATATTAGTTATTGTTGTTAGTCTTCAAATATAAGTAAGTTTCTTTTTCCTCTTTTAGAACAAGTGATAATCCAACTAAAATTTAATCATATAATCATAGCAATGAGCAGAAATCATGTTGCATGAGCATTCAATGACAGTGCTTTCTGGCAACACTAAATAAGCTAGAAATTTGCTCATGCTACCTTCTTGCTTCAGTCTAAGGTTCCCCATTTTTTAGGCTTTGTAAAGATGTTTTTGGTAATATGCTTCAAAAAAGAAGCACAGCCTTTAGGATCATGTTAGAAACTTGGCTCAAGAGACCTTACTGAAATTGCCATACATGCTTTACCAGTCATTGCCAACCAAAGAAGGATCCAGTCTAGTTTTACACTGCTTTCTTTTGTCTATAACAAGTTAATTTGATGAGTTCAAGAAACAAAGATGCATCATAACTGATTGAGGATTAATACAAGAAGGTGTTGTCTGGCTTTGTTATCAGATTGTCTATAACAAGTTAATTTGATGAGTTCAAGAAACAAAGATGCATCAAAACTGATTGAGGATTAATACAAGAAGGTGTTGTCTGGCTTTGTTATCAGATTGTGTAAGAATGAACTGCATTACTTTTCATTAGTTTCCACTCAACCAAGTTGTCCTTTTCACAAAAAAAGAATGTCCACCAACATTTGGTGGCATTTTGAGAAACACTTGTACATGGGGAACTCTAATGCTGTGCTATGATTCTTGACTCACTGTGAGCTGGTCATCATCAAGGAAAAAGACTGACTTGCAACCGAGATGTTGCAAGAAAGACTTGTGCCTGTCTTGGAAGATGCTTGGTTGTTTCTCCTCTCTTTATTGGCTTTTCTGTGAGGTTGCATGGCATAAGGAAGGCGAATGTGACCAGGAGCATGTACTCGAGGCTTTCACTCATGTAGCAATCATCTTTATAACCTCTAAATGCATGTATTTGATCTTCTATCAACTTGATAAAAAGATTTTTTTTTTTCCTTCAAATTCTTCTATTGTTTCGCAAAAATCTTCCTTTCCAATTTTGTTTTCCGTAATCTGTTCTTTTCTTCCGATACTGGTTTTGGCAGAGTATTCAATCAAAACTTGAGACGTCGTTTGGTTATCATCTTCTTCTTCTTATTGAAGATCTAACACATCAGAACATCAGAATGCAGCTTGTCCAATCCATTCAACACCACTAACAATTGCTTGATCATGTTTCCATTTAGTGTCCATTTACGCATATGGATCACTCAGAAAGGCAACAACTAATTTACAATTACAAGAGCATATTTGTTTCAGCAAGACATAATGGAAGTACAAACATGTTTTCTTCTTCAACGTAATGAGAATACGAGCAAACACACATGGCTACAAACTCTGATGAGAACAGGAAAAGTACAGTAGCAAGGTTTATTCACCAGATGAAGAATACATCAGGCGCAATTCCTTGCGAACTCTGTCAATGTATTCTTTGGACTTCCTGTCTATGTCAGACTCTGCATGCTCCTCATCGTCGCTTGGTCGATTCTTCCTCGGCCTCGGCTGCTCTGCTTCAGCTGCCTCCTCTCCCTGGTAGCGCGTCTTCTTGAAGCCGAAGAAGGCAAGAAACGACTTCCTACCTCTTCCCATCTCCTATGAACTGTGTCAGAAGAACTACTTGCTTGCAGAGAGGAGAAGCAGCCTCGTAATTTATAGCAGAAGGGAGAGGCCAGTAGGCTAACAAGCAAACTCGAGGCAATCACAGACGTCGATGACATCCGATCGAGCGATCAAGATGGACGAGAGGTTGATGGTTCAGCAGAAACCGTGCACTAACCTTGAAGTCACAAGGCGAAGGAAGAAGAAACTTGCAGCTTCTTTACAGCTTGGGAATCTTTGGCTGTGATTGGCTTCACAAGGGTGTGTGTTCAAAGATTCTTCCTCTCAACCCGGTAAACACGGGCCTTCCTGCAAGCTTCCCTGCTGATACTGCTTCCTGGTCTGTGGCATTGTTTGGTACACCAACTCGGTAGACTGATACAAGCAAGCAAGCAATCAACGTGTTCCCTCTCGTGTGCTGTTTCAGATCGTTCTTGCGGTTCCTAATCCGTCTGCAAGTGTCAACCTAACAACGGAGAAGGGTTCTCCAAAAGCAAGTCAAAAGTTGGTGGAACCTTAACTGAGATCTATCATTGTTTACGGTGAGATGCAGTCTTCACTTTGTTTCTAAGACGATCTTTACTTGTACTTGCATGTATCAAGTCAAAAAGTTCCCACAACAAAAGACGCATTGTTTTAGCCTAACTTAGCTTTGAATAAATAATTTGCCTTATGTTTAATGACCTTTATTGTTTGTCAGTATGTTAATCTAATTTTGGGACAAAAAAGTATCATTATTTTCAAGAAAAATAATAATATTTTTTTAATATTATCACAGAATCTATCAAATTTGGAACTAATAATTATATTAGCACAAGAACTCATTTGATGCTTTCGGTCTAACACAAATCTATTGGCTTTGTTAACCCGAACCCGAACCCGAACCGGAACCGGAACCGGAACCGGATCCGAGCCGTTGATGGGACTGTGGGCGGTGTCATCGCCGCCCACCCGCACGTTTCCCAACCCAGCGTCTATAAACGACTCTTCCCGATCTGGCCTCTCGCTTCCTCGCCGCCGGCGCCGCGATATCTGCGTCTCTCTCATCCAGGTTAATTTTTCCTCTTGCTATCCTTCTTTCTTTTTGGATTTTTCCACTTTGGCGTATGAGTTAGGGTTTGGATTTAGCTGCAAGAATGGTACCGTAGCCGGGATCTGGGAAATTCTGATCTGTTTGGGGCGGATTGTGGCGTCCGCCGACGAACTACGATCTGGATCGCGTGGATCTCGACGCGGTTTCATGAGTTGAAAGTCCTGGAGCTGATCTGGCAGAATTTATTTCCTTCTTCTTGTTTCTTGGATTGTGGGGGTTTTGAGATTCTGGAACTGGCTTCTTTCGATCTCGACGGGTGCTCTGTCGCTGTCTCTCTTTTGTGGGTCAGAATCGATTACATAGACGCGAGATACTTATTTTTGAACTGTTATCAAGTGTGATCGATGTTGTAACCTTTCTTGCTTGAGATTGTTCCTTGGTTTGTCGAGCGCGTAGTGCCGGTGCTTGGGGATTTGTCTCGTTCCTCGGCGTACCAAGTTTCTTTTCACTTTTAGTGCTAGTTTTTCATAGGCTGACATTCATGCCACTGATTGGTTTGACCAAACAATTGTTACTGGACTGTGGATAGGCCTGGGAAACCTGGATAGTGGGTATGCAACGCATGGTAGTCGCGTCACGAATCTTTCTGATTAAATTCACAGGTTTCATGGTGATGAAAGTAATTTGTAGTACATGCTGATCATTTACTGAAGTTTGACGGGGTTTCTGTCTCATTAGGAAAATTCAGTAAGAAAGACCTCAGATTTATCATAACTAGGATCTTTGGTGTGTTAGAATGCACTTCTTCGGATATTGCTACTTTTTTTTTTTTCACTCAAGAGATTCCTAAATACTATGGCAAGAGGATCATCATAGGAAAACTGATTAAAATTTTTTGCTTTTACAGATCTAGGAATCATTTATATCTTGCAGTTGTGATAAGGGATCCATGGCTGCATCAGAGGAAAACAGCTCTTTGTTCCCAATCTTCATACTTACGATCATGGCAATACCTATAGTGCCTTACACGATCCTCAGGTTATCCCGTGCTTTTACAAGGAAAACAAAGAGCATCCACTGCCAATGCGATGTATGTTCACGATCAGGGAAGTACCGAAAATCCATTTTCAAACGGGTAAGCGACCGGACCCTGTTGGTTCTTCTCTTACAGTTTATGCCTAGATTTATTTATTGCTCTGCATGGTTTAATTTTATGATATGTTGCAGATCTCAAACTTCTCGACGTGTAGCAATCTAACACTTCTGCTGCTTTGGGTCATAATGGGGATCCTGGTTTATTATATTAAACACATAAGCCGTGAGGTATATTAAATGTCACACTCTTTTACTAGTTCGACAAGAAAATTGCATCATGTTATGTGTTTTATATATTTTGCTTTCATCTGTTTCAGGTTATGAAATGATTATAAGGTGTAGAATTTTTTTCTCATATAATTCTGCTTTTAACAATTCATGTCATGAATCATATTCATTTATCACCATAGTTATATTCTCTAACATGTGTGTCAATCTTCGAGCCTTTACGCATTTTGCACTTATTTTACTGTTAGTTACTGGGTTTAAGATTTTCCATCCATTTCTGTCTCACTAATTTCACAAGTTGTCATACTTGAAACAATAAAGATAAGATTTACTTTATATTTTTTTGCTCTATGTATGAGAAAGTTACTTGTGATTGTTATGGTAAATCTCTAACATAGTGTCAACTGCTAAATATTAAATTTCAGCAGTCTTTTTTTCACATCACTTGTTGTTTCTTTAAATGTGATGGTTCAGCTTCTTTTATTGTCATGCATCAATCTTTTTTTGTATTTTGATAAGTATCTACTTAGCATTTTCTTGGTATATGAGTATTGCTTATTTTGTTTCTTTCTATTTTTATTTTTTTCTCCAGAATTTGATTATCAATATGTTTCAAGACATATGTGTTCCATTAATAAATATACTCTACGATTGTCTTATTTGGGTTTTCAATATGAGCACTGGCCTCTTCTTATTGTGTTAGTAATCACTGACATAATTTGATCTTAATTAAGTATTTGTATGTGTCCTGTATTTCCGCCATTCTTGTGAATACTGTGAAGCTTACTTTATTTCTGTATGTTTCTAAGATGTTCACAGTAGCTTTTGCCTTTCAAAAAGTTGAAATGCATGGGTGGTACTCAAAAAACTCAAAACTGAGATATACGGCGTTATGAAAACCTTATAAGTACATCTGCATCTCCTGAATCTTGCATATAATGACGTATATAAAAACTATTTTTGCTCGTGCATGCTCTTGAGCAGGCATAATAAGCTGCATCATTTTGGTAGTATAGAATGAAAATGTATATATTCATGTATATGTTATCAAAACAGAATCAAATTGTTCATGACTGCACAAAGGGTAAACTGACATTATCGAATTCATTAATCACTGCACACATTATCTTTGAATAAGCTATATTATCTACAAACCATCTGTTACCTAAACAGTAGAATTTCCTTTTTGCTATTCTTTATGCATAGTCTGTAAGCTTTTTTTCAGATTCAACCATTCGAACCGTTCAGCATCCTAGGACTAGATCCTGGAGCCTCCGATTCGGAAATAAAAAAGGCATATCGAAGACTGTCGATTCTGTATCATCCAGATAAAAATCCTGATCCAGGTATCAGATCTTCCAGTTTTGGTCATGTTTTGTATGATCTATATATTCAGACTTGATCAACTTGTAATTATTCTGATTCAAACCTCACGTTGCTGTTTCAGAGGCCCATAAGTATTTCGTGGACTTTATATCCAAGGCATATCAAGCACTGACTGATCCTATTTCTCGTGAAAATTTTGAGAAGTATGGCCATCCAGATGGCAGACAGGTAGCTTAATAAGTTGCTCTTTACATATGTACACCAGTTTTTTCATGCCTTCATGTATTTCTCTACCTCATAAGAGATGGAACTTAGATTTTCCTTGTCTGGTTTCAATTCCAGATTATTGCCTAAAAATATATACCTGATTTCAGGGACTTCAAATGGGGATTGCTTTACCTCAGTTCTTACTGAACTTTGATGGGGCATCTGGTGGAGTACTATTGCTTGGCATTGTTGGAGTTTGCATACTTTTGCCTTTATTGATAGCGGTTATATATCTCTCAAGGTCATCAAAATATACTGGAAATTATGTTATGCATCAAACCTTGTCCACATACTACTATTTCATGAAACCATCTTTGGCTCCAAGGTATGTCTTTATGCTTGAAACTAGTATATAACTAATATTTTTTCGTATTTTGATCTACAAATTTCTGCTCCACTCTCTTGACATGGATGCTTTTTTTCTTTTTTTTCATTAATCGACATGCTTAAACATGCACTATCCTTGGGAAGGCTCTTCACTATTATAAAGCTTGCTTAGCAAAGTTTAGAAAGTTATTTTCTTGCAACAATTTCATACTGTACAGAAGTCACAAGAGTGCCAACACACAAAGAGGTATTTGCCATGCAATTAGTTGGCCAAGTATTGGAGAAAATTAAGACTGGTCTCAGCTTAAAATTCAAACAAAGAAGGTCATGGTTAAGAGAATATTGTGATGATAAGCAAGGATTATTTACAGACAGTATGTGTATAATCTAGGCCAGAAAAATAAGAAGTTATCACTAAGAGAGGTTGATGTTTGAGATGAGAAAATGGTTCCTTAGAAGTGGACAAATATGGTAAATGTGGATCGTCTGCATCAAAGATAAACAATTCATTAACATGGTATTGTAGGTTTCCTGGGGATAAACTGGTTAAGCAAAGGCAAAAAATAATGAACTTTAACATGAAGCTAAAAGGTTCTGGTTGGTATTTGATCCTTCATGAAGCAAATATTGAACTCTTGAACATTATCAACTAAAATATCAAAGTAGATGTTGTACGATTCTCCTTTCTAATTGCTATGACACATTGCAGCATATTAGAAATGAACATTTATAGCATATTTCAGATTTCACATCTCATGTTGATGTCTGAGATAAAAGAAGTTATCTTAAAAGTGGGCCAAATTAGTGTGATGAAGCTGATTGCTGTTTAGAGTGGAATTTTTATAAATAATGTTCCAGGGATATGCAGGCTTGTTTAACATAAAGGCTCAAGTAAATGAAAAATCTGGCACTTCAAGGTCAGGCTAAAAGGATATTTTTGGTATCATCATGATAGCAAATTCTTAATAGTTGAATGAGCATCCAATATATTGAGCTACATGGTATTATATTTTCTTTCTACCTTTAAGACACAAGTTGCAATTTGAAAATTCAGTAATCTCATGCCCATTTAAACTAACTAAAACTTTCTAGTTAGCTGTTGAATCTAAAAAAGAAGCATTGCCTTGCTTATATTCAAACCCAAATATTACACTAACGAGTACATTCCATCATATCAACATGATTTCTTTCTTCATGAACTCTTTTATATGGAAGAAAAATTTACTAACTGGTTAATAAGGACATTCAACCACAAATTTTGTCTTAAATGATTTTTCTTTTTAATTTGTTCAATTAAACATTAGACAAGTCTGAATATAGTGCCTAATGAAGATTCAAACCATCTTATTGACTGTTTGATCAGACCCATCAATATAAATTGAAAACAACTTAGATGCAGCTCAATGAATTTGCACAACTATCCTTGCCCCTATATTACGAATCAGTTTGGTGTTCACTTTAAGGATCTCGCTTTCTATCTCATAATTTAGTTGAATCTATTTAAATTCTGTTGAAGAATTACTATTTTAATGCAACCTCTAAGAAGATAGGGATGTGAAGTATATTTGATTTGAAACCCATCCCGATTACCCTCTTTGGTCTTGACGTTTGTTGCTCATATATCTTCCAACATTTCTCATAGAAATAGTGGTTGTTAGCTGTTTTGCAAACATATCTTTTCTAAGCTGACAAATATTAGTTAAACAGCAAGGTTATGGATGTCTTCATCAAGGCTGCAGAATATATGGAAATGCCAGTTCGCAGAAGTGATGATGAACCCCTTCAGAAACTGTTTGTAGCAGTTAGAAGTGAACTGAATCTTGACCTTAAGAACATCAAGACAGAGCAAGCAAAGTTTTGGAAGCAGCATCCTTCGCTAGTTAAGGTAGTTCTACATGATATACACCTATGATGTTTTCAACTTGTATTGAGGACTTAGCATACAGCAATCTTTATTTGGTGGAAACTTGCAACCACATTGGCACATATCACTAGAGCTTTATTGCCGACTAGATATGGATAAGCCAACATTTATGCTGTCCATTAGAAATGCAGAATTTGATTAAGAAAATTGTTGCTATCAACTTGTCATGTACAACAACATCGGCTAATTCTTTTGTGCTTAATGTGGCCTTATATTTTGATTACTCGTTCTTATTAATTGCAGATGGAATTATTGATCCAAGCCCACTTAACTCGTGAATCAACTTTGCTATCTTCATCACTACTGAATGATTACAGACGAATGCTAGAACTTGCACCTCGTCTTCTTGAAGAGCTAGTAAAGGTGATTAATCTTTTTTTCTCTTGGCAAAGTTGTATATGCATATTTAGCTCCAATATTCTTTTTATCAAGTAGCTATTAACAACAACTCAATTGTGATTTTAAGTTCACTGTGAGATGAAACTTCTCAAAGAAGTCTAACCATTTTTTATACATGCAGATTGCTGTAATACCACGTAGTCCCCATGGCCATGGATGGCTGAGGCCAGCAATTGGTGTAGTTGAACTTTCACAATGCATCATCCAGGTATCACATCATAATGCTATGCAACTGAATTGTTTGGCTTCAGCTTTCACAATTTTTTTCATGTACTGAAGATGAATACGTAAGAAAAAGGCATATATATATATATATATATATATATATATATACTCTTTGCGAGCTCATCAAGTGGCAGATATAAGCCATTCATTTTATTGATTTTGAAGTTTCTCACGAGGATATGTAGGATTCTAGCTATTAGTGCCAGCTGATTTACTTCTTAAATTATATTTACATATCTAATAGTTATTTTAAAGCTTGTCGTTAGTCAAAGATTTATAAATTGATTATAAATTGCTGGAGAACATGTTCTTGGTTATATTCTCTGAATGACTTTTTTAGTTCCAATCATGTTGCTGTTTCTCTCATTATGCTACCATCTTTCTTTTGTTTATTTTCCTTTCAAATTAACCTTTCAACTCTTTACTAAGACATCTGCTTGTTAAGGGAACTTAATTCGAGCTCACTATGTTGACTGCACTCTAATTAAGAGCATTGGTGGCTTCCAATCTTAACTCTGCCCCTATTACATGTAGGTTGTAATATTTGCCACCCCTGCCAAACCACATTGCCGCCAAAATCTGGGTTTTGTTCATGAACTAAAACGTTATCCGAATACTACAATTGCATTGTTGAAATTGTAATGTGCTTTCATTAGCTTGATTTTACTGAGTATAGATTTTTTATTATTTATTTTGCTGCAGTTTTATCATTTTTATGATACTTGGACTTTTGTGCTAGTTATTTAGTCAATTCTTGTTATTGTCAGGAAATCTGCTTATTTTGTATGTTTCATGTAAACACTTGACAGTTCTTCCATTTAGTCAAGTCCTTATGTTAATAATCTATGATTAATATGTTAAACAGGCGGTACCACTAAGTGCAAGGAAAGCAACTAGTGGAAACCCTGAAGGCATAGCACCTTTCTTGCAGCTTCCTCATTTTACTGAGTCTACTGTCAAAAAAATTGCCCGCAAGGTAATAAAATTCAGTCAACAGCACATTGCGTATATGCTTTTGTATGTTATATAGGCAAAAAAAGAGCAAATTTTGAGCAATTTTTATTAGCGTCCCAGCATCAATTGTCTATAATCTTTGATAGCTTAAACTACTATCTGGAGGTTCTTAATAGTCAATTTTAGTATAAGTACTTTTTAGTGAAAAGGCTATGCTTGTAAAATAGTTATTTCTCTTTTACTGCTGAGTGTTTGTTTGTCAAGGGGATGCTATGGAAAGCATCGTCACATGAATATGGCATAATACTATTCATAAAATGATATATTTAGAGATAGGATGATAAAGCTTTTGTTCATCAAGGTCATTAGTATCAAGGTATTATCACTAAGTTCATTCGACGAAGTAAATTACTTACAACTAACACTTCTTTTTTCAATAATGATTTTCTCCAAGTTTGTTTTAGTTTTAGACACTGTGGTACACATTCATTGTCAACTCAAACTGGTTAAGTTGACTCTTTATTGCATCTATCCCATTGTACCATTTCTCTTATGTCAGCATCAAGAAAGCAGATACAAAAAACATCATCTTATGAGTTTAGAGGTGGTTGCTCCATGAATCCAATTATTATTTTCTATTAATAGGGTAAGCCATGGTATTATAATAAGGTCGTTTCTTTGCAAATTTGTGACCAGGTTTGAGTCATGGAGACATTTGCATGTTAAGAAAAAAACTGTATATGTTGATCCTCACCAAACCTCACATTGGTGGGGAGCCTTGATCATTGTTTCATCCTTTTTTTCAACTTATTTTAACATAACATGGATTTTTTGTTATGATAGAATGGTTAGTTGCTTGCTTTAACGCAAGAGGGCATTATTGCCCAGGTCAAAAACAAACTTTGCCAACTTATTTCCAGACCAGTCTGCTTCCTTGTTCACCTCTGGAATTAATTATGAACCTTCACATCTACTCTATAGGTGAGATCATCTATAGGTGAGATCTACTTTTGAGGGAAATGGGTCAACTTTCTTTCTCTTTCTAAATAGCCATCTAAAAGACCATCTTTATGTTTCAGGATATCATAAAAAATGTAAGATGGTTTACAGATCTTAAATGAATATCACTGAAGACAGATAGATAAGTCAATAATTTGACAAGAGAGCCAAATATACCTCCTATTTATGCCACAGTTTTCTCAGAAGTCTCCATTTTATATTGGCTGACTTTCCTTCCTAAGACTGCTCGATTAGCTATAGATACAAAATTTGTTATTATCACCTTATTTTGTGAATACACAGGCATTTGGGTGGGTTTTTGACATAATGGGAATGAGAAGCACAATTGTGTCCTTTATATTGCTAAGTTTCTTGTTTCGGTAGCTGATATAAGCTTAGTTTGTTAAGAAAATTCTCGAGTGCTTATAATGCCCTATTGCACTAATTTGAAGCTCTCAATCTTTCTAAATCCATTTGTTATGTTCCGGTGACTGTCATTCATTTGGAATATCTTTGAGTCTAACTTGATTGTGTTTTGCAGAAAGTGAAAATGTTTCAAGAACTGCGAGACATGACTGTTGCGGACCGTGTGGAGCTGCTGACTCAGTTTGCTGGGCTTTCTGACACTGAAGTACGTGATGTCGAGCATGTACTCGAAATGATTCCCTCGATCGCTGTAGACATCACATGTGAGACTGAAGGGGAAGAAGGCATACAAGAGGGTGACATCGTCACGATGTATGCTTGGGTGACACTGAGGCGTGGTAACGGCTTGATAGGTGCCCTTCCTCATGCCCCCTATTACCCGTTCCCCAAGGAGGAGAACTTTTGGTTGCTGCTTGCTGATCCCGTCTCAAATGATGTTTGGATATCGCAAAAGGTGAGTTTTATGGATGAGGCAGCCGCCATTGCGGGCGCATCAAAGGCAATTCAAGAAACAAAAGAGAGTTTGGGTGCAAGTGTGAAAGAAATCAGTGCTGCCGTGAGAGAAGCTGTCGAGAAGGTGAAGAGTGGGTCGAGAGTGGTGATGGGCAAGTTCCAGGCTCCTGCCGAGGGGAACTACAATCTGACCTGCTTCTGCCTGTGCGATGCATGGATAGGTTGCGACAGGAAGACGAACCTTAAGCTGAAGATTCTGAAGCGAAGCCGAGCAGGTACAAGGGGCCACATCGCGGAGGAAGGGCCGACGGCAGATGAGGGCATCGAAGAAGAGGAAGAAGAGGAGGAAGAAGAGTACGATGACTATGAGAGCGAGTACAGCGACGATGAGGACGACGAGAAGGAAAAGAAAGGTAAAGTTGCAAACGGCATTGCCAATAAGAAAGAAGAGTCAACTCCAGAAGGTTCAGGCAGCGACGAGGAGTGAAGAACTCTATTTACAAAGTTTTCATTAATTCATCCTGTAGATCAAATTGTGGGCTCTTGTCCGAATCATGCCAACATTAATGCTTTAAAATTCACTTTCATATACACTGGTTTACGATTTTTGCTGCTGTTCTTGATGAAGCTAAATGCTGACGATGATGCATGTTTACCTCTCAAAAACCATGTGGAGGTTCAACTGCAGCATGTTGAATTGCCTTTTCCTGCATGAAACGATGAATACTGTTTCACCTTTATCACACAAATCGTAGGAGTTCCGCAAAACTATGATGACAGAATGATACCTAAAGAATGATATCAATTCCAAGTGCAATCACAGTTTATGTAGCTCTACTACAACATCTCCATATAGACTCGATGATCCAACTAAGCAGCATTCCCAGCGTAGCTCATCAAAACAAACAGATGGGTCAGATTAAAGCAAGAGAAAAATCATATCTGTGGTCCGAATTTACGCTTATCACCAACAGATCATCATTTGGCCCAAAGAAATGGTCAATTATGAAACTTTGAAAGAAGAGGATAAACAGAAATTTCTTGTACAACCAAACATATAAAGTATGAATCCACATAGTCTATGGCCCCATTATTTTGATATTTATAAACTGTATGACCAAACACGTCGGCCTTAAAATATCTGGATACTTAGCAACATACAAACTTGCCTACCATGGGTACCGGAGCGGTTTATATTTGTATTAGTCTACATTTCAACATCCACCTTTTAGCTCACTGTTATCTACAAGGCTATAAACAGGTAAATATGAGCTAAGTTGCACTGCAATCCTCTTAAGCAGACTTGGCAAACCCTATACTGTTATTGCCAAAATCAAAGACCGTGTGATAAGCGCCCATGAAGACATCTCCAAGAATCCTGCACCAAAGGCTTCTCATAAGAACAGGTTGAAGGTACTTCATGCATTTGTATCTCTTATATGGTAAACTTGGTTTATAGCCATCTTTATTGCAATCGACAAACATGGGTATCACATACCAGAGAGGTCCCTGAGGAGGAGGTATATCGATTGCCGTAAAGCCACTTATACAGACTGCTGTGCCTCCTTGCTCGACTTTGAGAACATACTGGAATGGGAACGAGAAAGTGCAGTGATTACAACAACGAGAACAACGTAGACCTAAAAGACACAACAGTAACTGATGGTGTGACTGGTAAGCAATAAAAAAAAAAAAAAAAAAACTAGGCCAAGATTTGCTTGAGAGCCGATCATTTACATGAACATGATAGCAAAAGCATTTCTATGTTTATGGTGAACCAATGGTCATTTGAGCAAGCTTCCCTTCTAGTTAGGCACATGTGCATGTGCACGCACACGGTCACATGCATATATGCATGCAGGCACATGTGCATGTGCACGCACACGGTCACATGCATATATGCATGCAGGCACACATACATGTACACACGAGTGCAGACGCGTGCAATCAGACACAGCAGACACGCACGCATATGCACATCCACCCACACACATGCACACATGCATGCAAAGAAATGCTGGCTCAATTAATTAACTTTAACCTCTGATCAAAGTATCTTCAAGGTTCAAGGGATAAAAAATGACAGCAGCAACATTTTTTTCCAATTCCTAGCAAATTAGTACAGAGGCCATAATTCCGCAAGCCCAAAATAAAAATCTAGGTAATTTGGAATATTTAATAATTCCATTCGAACCAAGATGAAGTCTAGAGAGTAGAAAGTAGAACAAAGAAAGAATACATATTTCATTTGACCAATAAAAGACATTCATAAATATCTGAAGTGATGGGATCTAGTACATAAGCACCGCACCTCTTTTGGAGTTAGACTAAATGTTCTTTTCCCAATAGTAAATGCAACATTTGGCATGCTTGCAATCTGATTGCAATCAACAGCTGACTCTCCCATGGGGCTTGGCAGGCGTTCACAAATCTGGAAAATGTCAATACGAATCAATTTGGAACAATAAAAAATACCACCAAATTTAAATTGGACTATGCATTGACAGAGAAGCAACCTCATTTGCATAAGCTAATATGTGTTCTTTAGTTTGATTTTGTCGGAGCTGATTTTCAATCCATATAACAGCCATCTCACAAAAAGTACATAGAACATCTTGATTAACAGATGTTTTGTCCTTTTGCTTCTCAAGGACAGATTGTATGTCAGTGCTGCAAGGCAAAATTTCAATAATTTTGACAAAAGAAATAGTGGGGCACATGAAGAAGTTGAAACATTGAAAGAACCAGCTATGAAAATTGTTAAAATTACCATCAAAGTAACATTTTATAAAGTTCTATATAGCAATGTGTAATCGACTGCTGACCCCAAATAGTTTGGATATTGTGGCTTGTTGGTGTATTGCAATTGACTAACCTGACATATTGAGCTCCATCAAATTCACACAGGCCAATCTTCCTGCACACTTTCACTGGTCGTGTCTGCAGTCAAACATGTCACCAGTTATGAAGATATTGCAGAGGGCACTAAATTACATCTGTACTTATTAGGGCAACAGACCAGAAAACTAAAACCATCAGAACAAACCTCTGCTATCAGTAATTCAAGTATCATTTCCCCATATTCGTTAACAATTTCTTTACATTCCATGCTAACGATTCCTTCAGCACCAATGGCATGATTGACTTGGGCTATAATAGTCTAAAGCCAAAATAGTGGATCAGAAATTACATGTTGTCCACCTTAACTAAATAATAATATGTAAATACTGAACAATTCATACAGTTAAAATATCTTCTATCCTAGATAAACTTCACTAGTAAATTTAACCAAAGAATGTTGCACAAGTAAAGGCTAACTTGTAAATGGCACCAAACAATCCTGGAAACTAAAGGAAATTACAATTCATTCACCATGTTGTTGCTATCCTAATGTAGCTAACATAATACACATCGATGCATGTGCTATTATATCATGCTGTATTATTCATAAAAGAATGCAAATTATATTTGCCTTCATGCAAGTTCCCAGTAATCAGAAATATTTCTTTTCTTGGATATTGATAGGAAATTTTACATAACAATTTCTTGATACCTCTTTTAATTGAAACACTAAGTGCAATCCGAACATAGTTGAGCTGCATTTAGAATTTTATCCACCAAATGAATCATGCAAACTGAATGAAGTCCTTAACACTGAGGGTACGAGGATGGTCAAATTCTCTTAGACTTACCTCCCTCATGTCAAGATAGATTGTTTCTAAGACCCAAGCCTACCATACAAATACTACTGTGACTGTTCCAAAACTACATAGGCCTTACCCCCAGAAAGGAGTACCAAATAGGAGATGAAGCCGTCTCCACTTTCTTGATCAGCAGGCTATGAAACAACGTAGCCATTGTTACCAAGTGTCTGATATTCCAGGCTATGAAACAATGTAGCCGCCTCCACTTTCTTGATTAGTAGGCTGTGAAAATTAGATCATTGCTATTTGCTTGCTTCTTGTTTGTCATTTATTAACCAGTAGAACTTTTCAAGGGATCTTGAAAAACATTCTCAAGTGTCTGATATTCTAGGCAACACAATTCATACCCAACCGGTACAATATCCATAATCAACTTTTTTCAAAAATGTGGAAGCCATAACAATGGTCCAAAATTCTTAAGCATGGAGTACTAGTAGCAAGAGCACCAAACCTTATCTAAACAATTTATCCATCATCGACTCTAGCCATGGCCCCACTCTAGCATCATAAATATTCCCACTCAAATGCTTGACATCCTTATCAAGATCCAATACATAATTCATAATCCACTTATGGGTGTTGGACTGCTAACTGAAGGCATACCATCAAAGTAAATGTTAGCTGATAAGGAGTGTCCATGGAGTTGTTTCACCTTTTAGCCCAATAACTTGGAAAAAGTAGACTTTTAACCATGAACCAAAATATTTAATTTAGTTGTAGTAACCAATCTAGCACACCATCAATTCCCACTACATGACTATTGTGACATTGTATTTAAATATATGGAGGCACAACATCAAGAAATATAAAAAATCATGAGAAAGTATCACTCTTGTGCACACATGCACACACAACACTAGTTGCAACAGCATAGTGGAGAGAATGGACCAAGAAGAACAACACAGCAGGCGCATCCTTCCTCTTCTTTTCCTCTCTTCATCTTTCCCTTCACCAGCTAGAGTACTGACAGTGGGTGGTAACAGGGACTTCTATGGACTACTACTAGTCCTCTTCCTCTGTCCATTGACAGCAACAAATCAGCTAGCATTAGCTGAATTTGCAGATTTGGCCTTGGATCAGCTGAGTACAGATAAGTCAGATTGGGTCTGATGTATTGAGGCACATCCACATGCATTGTGATAAACACAGGGCGTATACAAGAGCCCAGTTAACACTACAGAGGACAACTCAGGAAACTGAAGATAACCACATAGCATAAAAGGAGAATATAGTATTTGAATCACATGTATATCTTTGATGAACAATTAACATTACTGCATAAAGAAATGACCATCAAAGTTGTCTATGAAGGTGCATTGGAAAACAAGACAGAATATAAACATGAAATTGTCCTAAGCAAGACACGAACACATTGTGAACTGCATATTGCCATCCAACAATCTCAAACAACTTATCCTTGTAGCTACACGAATTAATAAGTCACAAATTTGTATCACAAAGTTTAACTGGTAGAATAAATCTAGAATAAATCTGCAAATTAGGTTCTTAAATCATCTTCCTAGCATCTAAAACTTGGAAGCACATTGACAAAAAAAAAAAAAAAAAGCTTGGAAGCACATACTGTGGGACCAGTCAGCAAGGAAGTCCCAGAATCAACAATAGCAGAACAACCTCCAGAACAGAAGCCTAGAAAATAAAAGGACCATTGAAATCATCAAAAAGCAAGATGCTGCCTGAAATAGTAGATGTTTGATGAAAGAAAGCTTTACCAGTAGACTGGCCATCAATTAGAAAATCACCCATCTCAAACTGAGAAAAGATAAAAGTATTTAAGCACAAAGTTATCACCAGAATACATGAGGTGACTACTAATTTGCCTACACAAATCTTCAATTTCCTCCTCTACCTGCCAATATCCTTTATGAGAAACTGAAACATAAGTATGATCACCCTTGTAATGCTTTGAGTCAACACCTCCAAAAACAATTTCACCACCATTCATGTCATCAGTATCTCTATTAAGCCAGAAAGAAAAAACCTTATTCTCAATAAGTCCCTGCTTAGCCATGTTATACCTGCATAAAAGAAAACATAAAAGCTTAAAATATGACCAAAAATATGAGTAAACTTTGTTTTATGCACAGAAAATATTTGCAATCTCTTTTTGCTCAGAAGTGACTTAAGGGGAAGTTTCCTGAGATCATGCAAATCCATACCAAATGGGTGGATAATTGCCAACAGATATTTCTTGAAAACCAAGACCAAGAATGCCATCGAACTTTGCCAGTAAGAATGACAGGCTTGATTCTTTTGTTGCCTCTATGAAAATCTGAAATATGACAATTCCTATGATTGCATCTAGTAGGGAATCACACCTGCAAAGAATAGGTGATGCAAAATGCAAATTTGGATATTGATACATAGAGAATACCCACCTGATCTTTAACAACTAGGTCACCAACTTGTACACTGTCTTGGCTGAAGAAACCAGAAATTGTCCCAGAACCATAAGTTATTTTACATGACTTTCCTGATAGGAAAAAAAATATTATTGAATTATTCCTTCATAAAACATAGAGGATAAAAGAAAAATCCAATTCAGCCTCAAATTTGTAAATTATGCAATAGGAAGTTTGAACAGAAACTGGAGATAAGTTGTAGTAGACCAAAAATTCACAATGTTCAGAGAAGCACGTGCTTGAATATCTTCTGGGTCAAGATACAAGGAATAAAAACTATACCATTCTTTCTGTAAGTACTTGATGAACCTGACTTGTACTTATGGTGAAAATAACATGGCACCTGTAAATAATTAAATTCACAGACTTAAACTATATTTTCAATTGCATTAACAGAAAAAAGCAATTGAAATGAACATATTAATCTATCATGAATGATTGTATCAAAGACTTACAGAAAAGAAGCATTTTGATGATGGGACCCACAAGTTCGAGCTTCCAGTGTCAAAAATGACAGAAAAGTTTTGCGGAGGTGAGCCAATACCAATCTCACCAAAGTATTGGGCATCCATGTAGTTTTTGAGGGATACTATGTCAATATCAGAATCTTCAAGATTATGATGAAATGCATTATTTTGACTATGCATGTTCTCTTTCCTCACAATTCTTGCTGCATCCAGAGTATTGCGATCCAAGGGTCTCTTCTTAAGTTTGACTCTCAGTAATCCATCAGATGAGGCATGGAGTAGGGAGCAAGTCAAAAACCAGAAACAAATACACCATAACAGATATTTCTGGTCCATTTTAAATAAACTACCTGGAACCTGTAATAAACCAGAAAGCAGAGAAAAATATTGCATTAGCAAGTATGGCAGATGACAACATGTTCCAGAAAAAGACAAAGCTACGAACAAGAGGAAGTAGTAAATATCATCATATTAAGAATTTAGGATTCAACAGGATAGAGAGCATGAAAGCAAGAAAAATCAGCCCATAAATTGCACAAGATACTTACAGCTGCTGCAACAATGAGGAAGATAGACTATTAATCCTATTTACTTTGTACCAACTAAAATGAGCATAAGAGAAAAACGATTCAATTTATATAAATAAAACCTAACTACATGATACCAGAGAGGGTAAATGCTCAGTGCAAAACCATGTTGTCAAGAAGTGCTCAAGCTATGCAAGGTTCAAACATCACAAGGGTTCTAGGGAGGTGCCTTCAACTGGGGGCTGCCTTGGCGAGTGCTTCAATTGAGGCATAAAGCACTTAAGGCACTTGCTGTGGATGAAGTTGATTGTGACACAAAAAAATAGATTGTGAAGAATGAATCAAATGATAGGGGAGATGATAACATGGATTAAGCTGATGATGATGTATTGGACCTTGCTGATCGCTGGAGCTAGATTATCAATAATTTTTTAATTTTGAATTTTATTATTTAAAAATAGAAAAATATTAAAACAAGAACTTCCATTAGGACAGAGTATTATTTAAAAGGGAGCTAGATGAATGTAATATGGTGTTTTGGTAATTTGATATAAAGCTCTGTCCTCATTGAAGTTCTTGTTTTAATAATTTTCTCTATTTTTATAATTTTCGTAAGATAAATGCCTTGTTTTGCCTGGACGAATGCCTAGCGCCTAGGATAATAAAGGACCTTGGCAATTTACAAAGCCTAACATTTTTTAAAATAAAATTAGTGCCAAATCTAGCAAACTTCAGGGATGATGAATGCTCCTTGTTAGGAGTCGTACAAAAACAAATAGACCTTCAGAAACATTTAGAAGTGTAAAAATATAAGTTCAAGAAAAACCATGGTCAACAGAGGAATTAATAGATACTTTTATAGAGGTAGAACTGAGTAAAACATACAAAGATTATTGGATTAGAGTTTGACGTTTGAACATCTGAAGCAGTGATAAGCTGAGTTACTGATACAATTCTAGGGAAACCATAAGAACTTGGATTCCAGTTTTAAGATGACAGGCAATATCAAAGTCAATATATCGCAAGTAATAATATTAATCATTACCAGGATTTAAAAGATACCACACATTAAATACATTCTTTTGGACCTGACATACTCTGAAGGACTAAAAAATGAATGTGCTGTGAATATGTAATCATAATAAGGGAAATCAATATATTCACTAGACAATAACTTTCTGAAAATGAAACTTAAAAAAAGAAAGAAATTCAACAAGGAGACTTTGCTTTCATGCATAAAGATTGAAGAACACATGGAAAAATGTAGAAAAACCCTTTTAGTATTTTTTATTAATTAAAAGAAAGTGAATCATTAGAGGTAATGAGTTTCTTTCTTCTTTATCTGAAAAGGTGAGACCTGACACTGATGCGAAAGTCAAATATGAGATCAAACACCAAAGTAACTGTCGATGCTATGGTGGGTTATTGCTTAGAACCTTGCAGCTATGTAGTCACCAGAATTCTTATTCCTTTCCTAATAAGAGTAACAAGTCCAACAGAAAACAAAGAAGCAACATCAAGACAAGATAACATCTATAGCACCATACTCATGCGATCAAAGGCACCAAAAATTGCCAAAAGAGAACCCAGGGAGGAAACCCTAGGTCTTCTGAATTCAATCAAAGATCTAAAGATGCTTAGAGATGAAATCACACAGAAAGCAGCAACTAAAACATTCTTATTACTGAGAACTTAAGCGATCCAAAAGAACTACCATAAACAAAGAATTCTGATCCTTATGACAGTTCCCTGAGATCATGAGATGGTGAGCTCATACCCTGTCGGTACCTAAGCTATGGAAAGCGGAGATAAGAACTGAGATGGTAAAGGGAATGGTAGAAGGGAGCGCTTCAATAAAAAGAGGCAGCAGAAGTGTAGGTTAGAACAGCCACCCGCGTCGGTACCCAGAACGGTAGAGCGTTCCACACAGGCAGGCCCACATGACCCAAGTTACTCTCTCAAGTCACTTTCCACAAAGGTACCTGAAACGGGTAGGAGAAGAATTGGTCTTATCACTCATCCAGTCAACCACCTTTCACAGTGGGTTTGGAATTCAATTGAGATAGCTACCTTATTTTGGGCCGGGCTAATGTCATCCAAAGCCAGACCCAAACCCGAAGAGTGATGGAGTGCTTGTAGCTTGTTTGAGTGAAGTCCTTGCCAACTCAGGTAATCCATGGGATTAAGGAGTATACGTGTCGTTGTGATCTGATACAAGATGTTTAGTTAATGTAGTATAAATTGTAATTAATCAAGTTATATATATATATATATATATATATATATATATATATATATATATATATATATATATGTCTCTAAAGTTATTGATTTTTGTATATTGCACTTTTAAGTTGTATACTTAATATTACATAAATATTCCTTCCAAATTATTGAAAATATAAGAGGTAAATATAATAAAAGATATTTTAGGTACTTAAGATTTTGGTATTTTTACAAAATTAATGATAACCATGATTAATATATGTAACTTGAGTTGTTGGAGAGAGGGGGGCTCACATAAAAGAATAAAATCCTTGAAGGATATATATACTAAAAACTAAAATTTGGAAGAATATATATATATATATATATATATATATATATATATATATATATATATATATATATATATATATATAGGGGGGAAATTATCCTTATTTTATGAATATTATATAATTAATAATGTTTATAAATAAATCCTTAAACTCATAGAGTTGAATCTTCAATTCCTCTCTTGAATTGGAAGACGAAAAAGAATAGATGGCATTATCTCACTAAATGCATGCAAACGCTATATACGTGACATGGTCAACACTACGCGGCCACAAGGCCTTCATCCTTCTTCTCAAAGAAGTTGGCCACGATGGTGGCGACATCATCGAACCCGACGCCGATGCACAAAGGATTCGTGCTGGCATTAGTGCTGCTGCGATTCAAGACTCGAAGGTTCGGCCCATCCCTGCACTTGCCCATGCACTTGCACCCAACCACCGCTCCTTCCAAGCCGATCTTCTTGTTGAGCTCCTCCATCAGCGCCGGTGCACCAGATCTTATGCACTTCCCTCCCATGCACACTTCGATCTTGTTCATAGGCTTCTCCACCACCGCTGTTCCGCCCCTGCTGCAACATTCTGACACCGGAGTCTGCGGTTTGCACTCGGGTGCTGCAATTGATGTTGGTTTGCTGATTCTGACGACCTCCTCGGCGTTGCAGGATTCGTAGCCCTTCCTCCTGGCGGCCTTCGCTTCTCTTCGCTTTCTCTTCGTCTCCTTCTCTCGGGCTCTCAGCTGATTCAGCTCTGCCAGCAAACGCTCTGCTGCCTCCTGATGTTACAATCCCAACACTGAAACAACTCAGACATCGTTCGATCTGGAAATTAGTAAGAGTAAGACAAAAGGAAGGAAATTTGGGCCTCACCGAGATCATCTTCCCCTTGACTTCTCTGGCAAGGCCTTCGCCGGGGTCGGCACCGATCCCCAGCGTGCAAAGAGCGGCCAGATCCTTAGACAACCCCTTCACCAGCTTCGCCCTCTTCTTCTCCTCCTTTCTCCTCCCCTCGCCGCACCGCACCGGCGACGCGTAGTACTTGAGGTGTCCCGCGCCGGAAAACGCTCCCCTCCCTCCGCCGCTTGGGACCCCACAAGGCGAAGCCGAAACCCTCGTTCTCCTCCCGAATCCCGCGGTCGACGGACCGGCGGGGGCACTGCTGCCGGAATCACCAAGGGCCCGGGCGCCCGAGACGGAAGGGGAACGCCGGAGGATGGCGCCGGAGACCTCCATCGCTCGGCTTCTTGATTCGTTTCGTAGGCGGGGTGCGGGGGAAGAAGGTTCTGCACGTCGGCCGGGGGCGCCTCGTCTTGCCCTATATAAGGAGGTTTGCCTTCCACGTTCCCTATTTTGATTGGTGGAATATGACGTGTCTTACAAGTGGACTAATGAAGATGCTTCGCGCCAAGGGCTCGTGGCGATCTCCGCCCGTGCACGCCGCGGCATTGGCCATCGCGTTCCGGCCACGCGAGCTCGCTCGACTCGGGCCGTTCGATTGAGCGGTACAGCATTGGACGGTCGAGATCGGATGAACGTGGACGATGCGTCATCGCCCGATGCCTGGGAGAATATTTAAGACGAATATACCCATATCCACATCAGACCGAGACGGCTGTTTCAAGGGAAGCAATCGGGGAATGCACGAAACATGGAAGGGTTGATGTCTTTCGACAGCTAAGGAAGGAATCCGTTGTCCTCCTCCCAAGCAAAAGCGGTAGGGAAGGCGTGTAGAGGTGGTGGTGGCATACGTGCGGTCATATGCTTCGTTCATTTGTGGATATTGGGGATGTGATAATTGGCAACATGATTGATGGAACATCTGCATGCTTTTCTTGTTGAGGTGGTTTAGAATTTCTTGACGCAATCCTTGATGATGAAAGGCAGATTCAATTATTTACTGGGAGTGTTGCTGTTTTCATGTTTCATGATGGAACATGACACTTATCGATGTAGAACATGAGTGACTTTTCAGAGAGAAAGACTATGTATTTTTATTTCTTTCTAAAATAGCACTACATGAAGGAGAATGTCAAGATATGGAAATAATTGAGAAATATTGTGTTCATATTTCCTCCATTTATATAGTGAGATATCTATCACTCATTAGATTGAGTTTGTGCCAAAGGATGTTAAATTGAGCTACATTTTGATTGATCTAAAGCTATCAATCTATAAAGCTTAATCTAAAGGATACTTCCAAAGAATTGAGTCTAAATATGCAAAACAAAGAATGCTAAATCCACCCACTGCTTGAATGAGAGAATGAAATTTGTTGACGTTTTTAGACTGAAAAATACAGCAGCATAGTAGTAGTAATCAGATGCAAACGTGATACAAAAACATGATACAGGGGGAGGCATCAGAAGTTGTGTTTGATTGATGCCTAGGACTTGTGACCGAAACGAGGAGGAAAGTGTGTGTCAAACTATGATCCGGAGCTCAAGTGAAGTGCCACTAAGGAGGCATAAGCCCCATCCTTGATGCTGATCAGTGTCTCATGGTTTCCTTTCTCTACGATCACCCCGTTCTTGACCACAGCAATAACATTTGCGCCTCTTATCGTCGACAATCTGTGGGCGACGATGATTGTGGTTCGGTCGACCATGACACGGTCTAATGCGTCTTGTACTACTCTCTCAGATTCAGCATCAAGTGCACTGGTTGCCTCATCCAGAAGCAAAATCTTGGGATCCTTCACTATGGCACGTGCGATTGCGATACGCTGCTTTTGCCCCCCAGATAGCTGCAATCCTCGCTCTCCAACTAATGTGTCATAACCCTGCAATTCCAAATGTTTAATGATAACAATGAAGAAGCAAGAAAAAAGATAAAAGCTGCTCATTATTGCTCATCGCTTAACATTAAAAGGAATAACCACATTTTGCTTAACACAAGGAGTGCATTGTCTAGATGAAAAGAATGGAGTTTATATACCAAAGAATGAGTAGATATAAACTATCAAAACACAAAGAGGAAAAATGAAGCCTTAAGCCACCAGACAAGCTATATGGATCAGTTTGACATCAAGAAATCTTGATCATTGGGAGACCAATTTGGATTCCAGATGGAGTCATCCTTTTGTACTTTGCTATAAAAAAAAAAAGGACAAATCCAGTGCACAAGGCTCCGTTTGTACAAATCTGTTAGAGGAGAAATCCTGAAGGAAAAAAGACCTTGCGGACAAAAAGTTTGAGGGGTCAAGAAAAGAGAACATTGAACTAGTAAAAAATCAATTAATATGGCTAATAAATTAGTGAAGTAGAAAAAGCTTTGGATACAGGATCACACCTTGTGCAAGCCGCTAATGAACTTGTGGGCATTGGCTAACTCTGCGGCAGCTATGATCTCAGCTTCAGTAGCCATTCCCTCCTTTCCATAAGCAATATTGGATCGAATTGTCTCGTTAAAGAGTGTTGGTTCTTGACTCACCAGACCCATCTTCTGCCTCAACCACCTCAATTGCAGCTTTTGTATGTCAATCCCATCAAGCAATATCACCCCAGAGTCAGGATTGTAAAATCTTTGTAACAACGATATGATAGTTGATTTCCCGCTACCGCTCTCTCCAACCAGTGCAACTGTCTGAGGAAAACAAATAATTTATTACTGTATTGTTTTTTGATCTGAGGTCCCAGAATTATTCGAGATAATAATCTTCACTGGAAAAAGAGCATCACTTTTATGACATCAATATTTCCTTTCATACAGAGATCCTTTTAGCTGACAATTTGATTAAGTACATGAAGTAAATCAATGATGTGTATCTTAAGTCTTAACCATGCTTTCAAATTTCTCATCGAGACATCAAATCTGTTGCATGCTTCATTCATAGATGTTGAGAGTCTTGAGACTACTACTGTGAGAAGAATAGGTTACTAATTATTTAGTGCAGTTTAAAGTTAGCAACCATTTTACATGGACATAGTAACTTCACTTCTTTCATTTATGGCTTGGTTTAGTAATTTAGTCAAAGTCACAACTGTTTTATGCTCAATACCCAAACATGTAATAATCTCTTTAATCATCATAGAACTGCTATCGGCAGGAGCCTTATGCAATGAGTCACCCTTTTTTTAACTTAAACATGTAACAACCAGAATTGTGTTACCTTTCCAGAGTGAACTGTCAAAGAAAGGTCTTGAAAGATCTGGATATCTGGCCGCATAGGGTACCTGAAGCTGACATGGCAAAGCTCAATGTTGCCCTTCAAGGTTTCTAAGATCATGCCAGAATCATTGCTGGGATCTATTTTAGATTTGCGGTCGAGAATAGCAAATACTGAGGCCGAAGCAGATCTGGCTTTTGATGAATCTGGTGCCAGGGAGCTTGACTGAGAAATCCCAATGGCTGCCATTGCAAGAGCAAGGAAGACCTTCAAGGAAAAGCAAGAGCAATGACTACGAGAACAAAAAAAACAGTGAGATTACAAAATTTTGGTATGCTTCATCAGCATGAAAAATGATGCAGGACAAGCTGTGGAATCCATGATGGGGGCCATCAAGTTATGTAACTAATCCATTAATACTATGGTCTCACCAGAGAATGTAAAGTTCATGTGCAAAATTAGCACTAATGGATGTCTCAATTCTCAGTGTATAAATGTATCACCTTCTTTATACAAAATCATTTAAAATATACTGTTAGTACTTACCTTCAGGTAATCTCAACAATGTATCTTGATACCGATACATTATTACAGATGCCAATGCTGAAAGTGATCGACATATGTATCATGTTATATACTTGCTAGTTGTTATCTTTTTTCATAGGAGAACATATTATTTGTAGGTGTTCTTATATAATTTAACACCTGCTTTAATAAGCATTTCCAGTTTAAAAGATTGTGAGCATCTTTGTTAAGGTTCTTGTTCTGAATCTTAAAGAAGCACGACAAGAAAAAACTTCAAACTTTCAGACATAGAACTTGTGACAGAAAATTGTACACCTACTTTTGGGGAAAAGTCAAGGTAACAGAAGTTCAATGTATAAAATTTGCATACCCGAAATACTTTGCCAAAAGTAGTCTTCCCACTGTCAACCAACCGCGCTCCAGCATAAAATCCAGCTGCATAAACACAAAATAAGAAGAATATGGAAAAACCAAATCCGGCGCCACTGATTATCCCTAGCCTAATTCCCTTTCTTGTAGGGCCTTCACATTTCTGCTTGTAGATCTCCATCACTTTCTCTTCAGCTGAAAATGAAGCAACTGTTCTGATACTTCCTACTGCATCATTTGCAACCTGACTTGCTTCCTCATACATTATCTACAGCCATTTACAGTGGTAGTCATCAGAAGACATTATGACTACCAAATTTCTGGGTATAGCAAAGAAAAACTCTCTTTTTTCAGTTGTGAACCAAACACCAAGAACAGAAACAGAAATCTAACATTTTGTTTAGAGATAAAACATTTCTTTTTTGATTGGGAATATTCATATTTGTTTGACAAATGATTACATCTGATCAGCTTTTATAAGTCTGTTCCATGTCAAAATAATTCTTCCAGCTACATAATTTAGATTTTTTTCTTTAAATTGAATTAGCAATATGATGTAGTCAATTATGGTAAACCGGTGTAGTATATACAAAGTTTCATACATAGACGTAAGTCAAAAACATACATAGGCAAATGGGCGCATATCTGCATTATGAAGAACTCATGATATGCACGATAGCGTAACTGTGGAGCCATACCTTTGCATCCTTACCAAACCCCTTCAGAAACTTCATTTGTATGTATCCATTCAGACCCAAGAGAGGTAACAAAACTAGGATTATCAGAGAGAGTTGCCAATTTGCAATAAAAGCAATCAGCAATCCAGCAACCAATGTTGTAATGTTCTCAACAATTAATCCAAGTGCATCACCAACAAGACTCCTGACTGTAGCTGCATCTGCTGATAGCCTTGCGCCAATTGCACCGCTAGAATTCTCAGGATCATCAAACCATTCTATCTCCATGTTAACCACCTTCTGAAACGTCATTAGCCTAATCCTCCTTATCAACTTGGATCCTGCAATGCCAAAGAAGTATGATCGAGCTGGAAGGGAAAATAATGCCACCCCACCAAATACCAAGAACAGTAATGACCAAAAATTAGAATCCCTTTTGAGCTTCTGTGGTGGCTGGTAAAATGCATTAATTACATTTGATAAGAGCATTGCAAACATGGGAAACATGACCCCATTAGCAATGGCTGCAACTGAGCCGAGAATCAACACTGGGATCTCTGGTTTATTAAGATAAGCTAGGCGGCGGAGAGGCACTTCTTTTGAATCTTCAGGAGGAATTTTAGGATCTACTTTCTCATATGTACTATCTTGGACATCAACTCCTACATGCAAACCAACAGGCAATTGGAACGAGTGGCGGCCGCTGTGTCTACCAGATGATCCATGGCTAATTGAGTGATGAAAGGACAATATTTTGCCTGAGGACCGTGCTGAACCATTCCACACATCAGATTTGTCTAAACGAGGTCCGCTTTTAATATCTTCATCCCGGTTCACTTCTTGCAGTTGTATCAGTTGGCTATAAGCTCCATTTGGATTCTTCAGGAGCTCTGTATGTGAACCTGGAAGCAGAAATGTTAACATTTATGTGAGTTAAATAAGCTGAATTTCTTTTAAGTTGGATATTGCCAAATTTCCTCTTGAACAAGAGTAGAAAAGTATGCCAGCTTAATTATGGTCAATCAGTAGAAAGGAACTATATTTACCTTTTTCAACGATTGATCCTTGATGTACAACGGCAATGGTGTCAGCGTTTCTGATGGTACTCAGACGGTGTGCCACTATAACAGTAGTACGATTTGCCATGATTCTATCAAGTGCCTCTTGTACTATCCTTTCAGATTCTGCATCAAGTGCACTTGTAGCCTCATCCAAAAGCAAAATACGAGGGTCCTTCAGAATTGCCCTAGCAATGGCAACTCTCTGTTTTTGACCTCCAGATAATTGAGTTCCATGCTCTCCAACCATGGTGTCAAGACCCTGAATGTGATGTGTGTCATCCGTTAAGCCATTTCAAACAAAAGTATTCATATATCAGAACAAGAAACAGAAAAGACCCTCAGTCTTTAACATCTAAGAAGTGTCTACGAAATGCAATATTCGCCCAGTTCCATCAAACTGACAAAGAGGATGATATTGTGCAGAATAATACTACTGATGTCAACATAATCCATCAAACTGAGTTGTAAAATGGAAGCTCTTAATCAACATATTCTTACCTTAGGCAACTTATCTATGAATTTGGCAGCATTTGCAATCTCTGCTGCAGCTCTAATTTCTTCAACAGATGCACTATCCTTGCCATAGGCGATGTTGTCTCTAATACTAGTAGCAAACAGGACTGGTTCCTGAGTCACAAGTCCAATTTTCCCTCTAATCCACCTGAGTTGAAATTCCTTGATGTTTATGTGATCTATGAGAACTTCACCAGCCTGTGGATCATAAAACCTCTCAATCAAACTTATAACTGTTGACTTTCCACTTCCACTTTCACCAACCAATGCAAGAGTTGTTCCTTGCTGAATAAAAAGAGAAAATCCAGAAAAGATCTGTTCATCTGGTCTTGCTGGATAACTAAAATAAACATCATTAAATTCAATTTCCCCTCGAATATCGTCAAGTTCCTTTCCATTGGCATCATAAGCATCAATTTCTGGCTTTCGGTTTATTGTCTCAAACATCTTATATGCAGCAGCTTGTCCTGCTGCAAATGCTTTCATGCATGGTGCTATTTGGCCTAATGAGCTGGAGAATTGGATCAAGATAATTAAGTTTAAAAATGTTAAGTATCGGCCATGATTATATAAATATGGAAAAGGATTAAAGTTCCTCACTTTTATAATGAATTCTTGATGTTTGTAAATGCAGCAGAATGAAAAGGTGAATCAAGCAACTGAACAAAGTTGCAACTTCTATTATTTTCGAAACCTTTCTTTCTCCTTTTCTATTCATTCAAGAAACTTCACAATCTTATTGATATCTGGAATAAGTGAATACTATGTTTACATTCAAATCCCTTAATTAGAGTCTACTTCAGAGTTCTGATGTCAGTTCTTCATTCTTATTTCTGCGATGTATCAGAATATTCACGTTTCCATTCATGTTAATTTACAGGCCAAGAATCAATTCCAGGGATATTATTTTCCTAAAAAAATGAAATTTTATTTAGAGCATATTTATTTGCTGTTTCTATCCGATAAAGCTCATATTTATATTGCTTGTTCATTCCCGGAGAAACAAAACAAAGATTTCAGTCAATGTAGTAGAAATTACAAAATCTTTCATTTAATTTGTAACTAAATATAAAATTAAACAGGTTTACCATTAGTTATCAGTCAATCATACTAAAAGACAGATGCTATATCTATTTAAATTACATGAAGTCTTCATTTCCATGAAGAGATCTTAGAATTTGTAAATTGTTAGAATCAGATTACAAATTACCTAGACATACTCATATCTGCATATTTACATGTATTAGAAAATCAACAATTTTTACATGTATCAGGAAAGGAATATTCATTATTATCATGATTTCTTCATGTTACTGTGTTGCAGTTTTCATAAATTTTTATGTATGTTGCATGGTTTTAAATTGGGATCTACAGAGAAACTAGTATATTGAAAGACATAGTTCACACAAAGAAAAAACAGGAAACTTTCATGGCGGCGGCATTTTTAGACTAGTGCATAGAAGCATTACCATATTTCACCATGCCATCAGAGCTTGCTACTGTCCAAGTCAAAAATAAAAAGGATATATCCAACTATATCCCAAAATATGAGAACACTAATTATTCATCATTAAAGTATAAACTATAAAAGCAACTTACAAGGAGCCAGTGAGGATTGCAAATATCACATTGATGACCTTT